ATGCTCTAAGTAGGAGATCAGACTACTTTGGAGCCGTAGTACATTATCTGGATATAGGGAGAGACCTGCAGGAGAAAGTGAAACAAGCGTATACGTAGGACCCTATCTATAACGACCTCYTAAAGAGAGTTAGAGAGACCCCAGAGACCGAACCAGATTACCGCACTACAGACGGATTGCTGTTTGAGAAGACTAATGTGTTTGACCGCCTGTGCGTTCCCAAYAGCGAAGAGATTMGTAGTCTAATTCTAGGGGAATGTCACGATACTGAGGGACACTTCGGTTGGCAAAAGACGTTAGCCAATCTGATGCGTGCRTACACATGGCCAGGGATGAAGAATGACTGCATAGAGTATGTCCGCAGTTGTAAAGTGTGCCAGAGAAATAAGTCTACTACACTTGCACCCTTAGGTCTTCTCAGGCCCTTGCCTATTCCGGATCAGCCGAGAGACTGAGTGTCTATAGACTTCATGGACACGCAAGTCAAGAGTAGACATGGTAAGAGCCAAGTCATGGTCATAGTCGACCGTTTTAGTAAGTATGCAGTTTTTGTTCCCTTGCCTGCAGAGGCACGTACAGATTTAGTAACACAGAAGTTTTTTGACTTTTGGGTTAGTGAGAATGGAATCCCATTGTCAATTGTTAGTGATAGAGATAGTCGCTTCACCAGCCAGAACTGGCAAGAACTCATGAGAGTTTACAGATCTAAGTTGTTAATGTCATCTGGCCGTCACCCAGAGACTAACGGTCAGACAGAACAGATGAAYAAGATCCTACAGCAAGTTCTGCGCATGTACATTAGACCATATTAGATTAACTGGGATGAGATGTTGCCTAAAGTAGCTAGTGCATACAACAACAGCGTGCATCTATCGACCTGCCGCATTCCCAATGAGTTGCACAAGTCCTTTAGACCACGCAGACCGTTAGAAGGACTGAACTGAGATCAGATTCACAGACTACCGCCCGTAACCAGGGAATTTGCTTTGCAGCATGAGAAAGAGTTAGCAACTGTTGTTGAGAACCTCAGAAAGACCCAACATAGAATGGTAGAACAGGCTAATAAGCACCGTCGYCCCTCACAGTTTCAAGTAGGCGACTTAGTATGGGTCAAGTCTAAAGAGTTTGCACCTGAGGAGCACATCTCGCAGAAGTTATTGCCTGCCTATAGAGGACCGTGGCCGGTATTAGAAGTCAAAGGCGGAGAGRATGGACCGTCCTATACTATAGAGATCCCAGCACACCTCCACACGTATCCAGTCTTCCATGCGTCCAAGTTGCTGCCGTGTGTCACAAGTGAACAGTTCCCCTCGAGAAGATCCATGATCCCTCCGGATATGGATGGAAGATACGACATTGACGGCATTGTAGACGAAGATGTGTTTAGAACAKKMGGTAGAGGTCGTCCCCARMAACAGTATAAGGTTCGGTTTGCCTACCAGGAGCCGGAAGACGACCGCTGGTTCACAAGATCAGAACTGTTGGAGACAGCCCCTGACATAGTGAGGGCTTACGAACGAGATAAGAAAGGTAAAGGTCCAATCTTGGATTGAAATATTCTCGAAGGACCTCGAATTTTGGACGGTGGGTGTGAAACAGTTTTCACCTTTGGCATTAGCCGATGCAGATCCCAGGGGTCGATCCCTTGACCTCAGCTTACCTGTGTACAGTATCTGCACAGTTCCCTGGAGTTGAACCCGTGACCTGCACGATAGCCAGTGGTAAGAAGGTCGCCGTAGGTTGTAGGCTGTAGGGAGATTCGAACTATAGACCTGTAAGGTAGGAGTCCAAGTAGAGTCCAGAGGCCTAGCTTTAGTAGAAGTTCGGCAAGTGGTCAAGTGGTGAGTCTAAGGTAGGCCCACGTTTTCAGACGAAGACAAGTGGCAAGGTCAACAGGTAGGACCTCAGTGCAACTGCACTGAGTCGACGGTACGACTGCCTATAGTCAGCAGAAAGGTCTAGAGAGTCCCAGTCCAGTTTAGCAAGTACCACAAGGGGACTGTGAGCACCAAGGGCCGATGGCAAAGGGCAGACCAACGAATTTCTGAAGTATAAATCAAGAGGCAGCGCCCAGCCATTCATTCATTCCTGCGTGAGCCATGCAGAAGCGCTGCCACAGCGACTTGTGCAGGGAGGTCTGCAAATGAGCCCGGAGGACGCAGTGGGCAAGAGAGGAGGAGTTAGCATAGCGATAGGTTAGAGGCAGCCATAGCTGCCATAGCTATAGTTAGTAGTGAGTGTGTGTGTGTGCTCGAGTGTTTTGATGCGTGTGGGATATCCAGGGTGATCCAGTGTATGTGAACAGTGAGATGTTTGTGCGCTGAGGTCGCCATAGCCAATTGGGAGTGAACTCGTATCTGAAAACCATATCTCTGAGTTTTGAGTGGGCGCATGTCGCCAGTGTGCTGCGTTACTGTTTACATGTGTGAAAAGTGTGTTTGAAAACGAGTCTGATTGCAAGTACAAGACCTCTTAGCGCATGTCAATGTCTCCAATAATCATGAATGTGTTCTGAAATACAATGTCTCGTAGCCAAAGGACGAAGCTGATAGGAGGGAGATAAGACTTGTGGAAGAGAAAGTATTCATCAATGTCATCGAACATAGATCTCCCTCATGTCCCACTCCTCCTTCAGGCATCTCCCCTCTGTCCACGTAAGCGTACAATATCCCCAGGACGAGCCTGGCGAGAACCGATCACAATTTAGTGCCACGTAAGCACAAATCTCCTATGAAGATGTCACAACAGCGCACAATGTTGACGACAATAATCAGGTAAGCTTCTCCCTCCCTATCTCACAGCCTTGATCTCCCTCCTCGTCGATAACCCAATTTGTGTCGAAGTCAATCCGGCAAGCGCCACATCATCAAGAGCAGAGAGGCGCCAGCAACACAATGCAGCAGTCTCGCGTCGTCGTCACGCACAGCGCCAGCGTACTGTCGAGGACAGGCCAACGTCCAGCCAGCGTCGAGCACCCAGTGCAAAACTCAATGTCAACGAGCAGCAATATGTAGTGTTGACGCAGATTGACCAGCCTCTGGTCTCTCGGATACGAGGGCTCAGATTGACCCGTAGTCAATGGCCTAGATCTCATACAGTTGCAGACTTCCACTTGAACCACACTCTGCCTGGATACCTGCGTACAACCAAATGTGTGTGTTTGATCAATGGCCTGGACTGGCTCCGTGCAAACTTTGACTCGTGAGCCGCAGTTTCCAAGTTACAGTTGATTATTAACTTCCTTGGTCCAATGCTCGCCGCAGGGCCTCTGAAGCCTCATTTTGGGCCTTGTTTGGATACGGTTTGGCCCACAGCCTTGCTGTGGCCTACGGGCGGCCCCTGGCCGATGACAATAGCATATTTCGAGCGGGTTATTACAGTGAGTTGGATTTCATGCTATGTATAATTACTTGCTATGTGGCAACGTTTGTAGGATTCCTGCCACTTTTGGCTCGCTTTGAGTAAAGGAGAGGTATGTCGTGATCAGGGGCAATGTTTGTAGGATTCTTGCCACTCAGGGAGAGGTGTGTCATGATCAGGCGCAGTGCGAAGTGAACCATGGCACAATTATCGGAGATTTGTTGAAGATGGTAGGGGAGTTTATAGCAAGGTTGATGAACGATACAATTATATCAGTTCGAAGGGGGCTTAGATGGAGCGCCCCGCGAGAGTTTATATATTGACGGAATTCCAATTTGTAATGATTTTCGATGGGGTTGTAATTGGTTTTTATCTTGCTTGTAGGGATCCCTTTTTTTCTGTGCATGTCGCTTACTTTGCTCGGAATGATTCAAGCCTTGTCTGGCAAATCTCACTCATTGCTTCATGCTATTGTTTCCTTCGATTTTAAACTTGAGATAACATGTTGGTAACGGTTCGGTTCTACTCGAAAATGGCGCCGAATGCTTTGTATACTTGGAAATTTTGTGCTATGGGTTGCAGTGAATGTATATGCGATAACCATGGCAACAATCCGGACTACCAGACGGGATCCGGATTGTCCGAAGTCCGGTGTAGGGCCTTACCCTGTTAGACTTTCGAGCCTGAGTCGACCCTGCTGCGGGTCCCAATTGGCTCTGCTCCGCCCGATCTTATGCTCAGGGCGCAGAGTGTTCGTCACAGGGGCACCCCCACCTAGTGTTTTGCGATGGATGGGGATGGGCCATTTTGCGAGAGAGCTTCGACATTGGGGATGTAGCTCCCCCCGCTCACCCGATGGTAGACTCGCCAAAACATTCTGTCGGCCGCGATTTTTCTTAATGCTTTGAGGTGTTATCATGCAATTGCTCCTTCCAATGCTCATGCAGTCCAGGGGGTTTATTGAAATTCATTCTTCTTTTATGCGCAGGCCAAGTGTCGTCCTTGGGCCACGCATGCATTCACTAAGTCAGGAGTCCTCAGAACCTTGTTGAGAGTGTGGACGCCCTTCGGCTCGGGCCCGCGGACCATGTCTCGCGGTCCCCCTATGCCTCCGTACGGCTTTGCCTGCTCCCCTCTTTTGTCGTCCCACCCGCAACTTTTGTTGTCGCATACATCAAGCATGTCTCTCTTTGTCCAACTTTTGCGTTTTCTTATACACCCCTTAGTCTTTTCGGGGCCCCATCCCGCATACATGCCCGAATTTTTCATTCTAGTCTAGGCGACCTTCTCGGCCGCCTTATGTCTTTGCCATTTGCCATAGCCGACTTTGCTTTACACAAACATGGTCAAGCAATTATTGAAGGGCAAGGGTTAAGTTCACAACCCGTTTGTCCTTATTCCCACTTTCTCTTTGTCGCCCGGCATTCTCGGGACCCACTCCCGCTCAACGTCTCTTTAAGCTACTTACCTGCACATTCAACACAATTTATGCAAGGCATCCCCCACATGGGGTCAACACATAATCCCTCCCCCAAGCCTAAGTTCATTTTCCTTAGCCCTTTGTGCTTTCCTTTTCCTTTCTCGGTCCAGGCCAATCTCTTCCCTTAGTCATGCAGTCGGGGTGATGGTTGAGTCAACCGACCTTGACAAAAGTACCAACTCTTTCTAGTCCCTCGTCCGGACTTGCCTCCTTTCAATTACACAAGCGTCTTCTCCCTTCCTTCTTGGCGGCACAAGGGACCGACAGTCCTCCCCTTGCTCATTTTTCCACCAAGGGAGGGCAGATTCCTTTCACCGTTCGTTCCCTGACAATGTAACAGGTGAGTAGGGGAAGGTTATTTATACGCCAAGAGGGGAGAGGGGGACGGGGTAAAGTCAATGCATTCAGAGTGTGAGAGAGGGATGACGAAGGGGAGAGGGAGGCGGTGGAAGGAGAAGAAATGCATAAGAGAGGAGGAGA